AAGGACCTTAAAGAGGAGTGAAATAGGCACAGGATACTACAAGACAAATAGCACATTCGGGATATTCCTGAAGTATGCTAGTGTCTTCATAACTTCAAGTTGTCGAGAATTTCATTTCATTTGGACCCATAATTGATGCTCATGGAAGCAGCAGTCAAAAGTCAAATGGTGTATTACATTTGGCAAATCTGCTAGAAGACCTCTTTAATGTGTTAAAGAACAAAGACATCACTCTGAAAATTATGGTGAGTCCGACCCAAGCCATGGTATTTCTAATAGTATTGTAAGCATCTGAAAGCTGGACAAATAGAATACACCTTAGAAGGACTGTGAGACTTTGTCTTATATTTTGGACATACAGTCAGGAGGGATCAGTCTCTAGAGAAAGACGTCATGCTTGGTACAGTAGTGGGTCATCTAAAAAGAGGGAAGCCCCCTAAAAGATAGACCGACACAATGCAACAACACAGGATACCAATTGTGAGGATGGCGCAGGGCTGGGCAGTGGTTCATTCTGTTGTACATGAGTTACTATGAGTCGGAGGCAACCTGAAAGCATCAAACAGTAACAACAAAGCCACCAGTCGGATAGCATCCTCAGAACTGAAAAACAAAAACAAAAAACTGGTGCTGTGTTTGAACTGCTGTGGCCATCCATCCATCCATCTCATGAGGGCCTTCCTCTTTCTCACTGACCCTCTACTTTTCTAAGCAGGATGTTCTTCTTTAGAGACTGGTTCCTTTGCATTCTGGTTGTATTTCTTCTAATACAGATTTACTCATTCTCCTGGCAGTCCATGGTATATTTAATATTGTCCACCAACCCCATAATTCAGAGACATCAGTTCCTTGGTCTTCCTTATTGGGTTTCCAGCTTTTACATGTATAAGAGCCAAATGACAATACTTGGGTCAGGAGCACCTCACTCTTCAGAGTCACGTTTTGCTTTTTGATGCTTTAAAGAGGTCTTCTGCAGCAGATTTGCCAAATGTAATCATACATCATTTGATTTCCTGACTGTTAGAAGTACTGACTGTGGGTCCAAGTAAAACGAAGTCCTTGACAACATCAAACTTCCCCGTTTATCATGATATTGCTTATTGGTCCAGTTTTGAGAATGTTTGTTTCATGCTGTGGTGTTTTTCTTTCTGAGGCTTTGATCTTCACCGGGAAATGCTTCAAGTCTTCTTCACTTTCAGCATACAAGGTTGTATCAACTGCATATCAAAGGTTGTTAATGAACCTTCCTCCAATCTTAATGTTCCATTCTTCTCCATAGAGTTCAGCTTCTTGGATTATTTGCTCAGCATTCAGATTGAATATGCATGGTGAAAGGATTCTTGGCCTATGTATAGGTTCTTTATAAGCACAATTAAGTGTTGTGGCATTCTCATTCTTCACATCATTATCCATAATTTGTTATGATCCACACCAGCTGAAAGTCTTTGCACATTAAACACAGGTGAACATCATTCTAGTATTTTCTGCTTTTAGCCAAGATCCACCTGACATCGACAGTGATACCCCTTCTTTCACAGCCTCTTCTGACTCCACCCTGAATTTCTGACCATTTCCTAATGATGTGTTGCTACCACTGGTTTTGTGAATTTTAAGCAAAATGTTACTTGTGTGGTATTAATGATACTGTTTAAGAATTTCCGCATTCTGTTGGATCTCCTTTCTTTGGAATGGGCATGGGTAGGTATCTGTCTTACAAATTTGTTGGCATAGTCATGTGAGAGATTCCAGCATTGCAACCATTTGTTGAAACATCTCAATTGGTATTGTCAATTCCTAGAACCTTGTTTTCTACCAATGCTTTAGGGCAGCTTGGAATTCTTTCAACACCATTGATTGATGATTTGCTACTACTTGTAATTACTGAACACTGGTCAATTCTTTCAGTACCATTGATTCTGTATTCATTCTGTCTTCTTTTGATGCTTCCTGCATTGTTCAACAATTTTATCAAGCTGTTGTTAAGTGCCGTAGAGTTGGTTCTAACTCATAGCAAACCTGTATAGGTATTCTGAGTACTTGCTGGTGAGTTTGAACCACCAACCTTGTGGTTCAAACCTACTTTTCAGTCCAGTACTTTACCCTACAGCGGCAACTCAAGGTGGTCTCTAAGTTCAAGTGGGATATACTCAAATTTGTACTTCAGATCCTGTGGGCTTGCTTCAATTTTCTTTAGCTTCAAGTGGCACTCACCTATGAACCACTGATGGTCTGTTCCCACAGTTGACTGCTGTGGAACAGACTCAGTGACCCTGTATAGTGTTTCCAAGGAGCAGCTGGTGGGTTTGAACCATCAAACTTGTGGTTAGCAATACAGAGCTTCTCCTACAACACCACATCAGGACCCCAAATAGAAGGTCGTCGTTGTTGTTGTGAAGTGCCATTGACTTGGTTCCGACCCATAGCAACCCTGTATGGGGTTTCCGAGGAGCAGCTGGTGAGCTTGAACCGACAACCTTGAAGTTCAAACTGATTTTGCAGTCCAGTGCATTAACCCAACAGCGCCACACCAGGACTCCTTGGACTGGATTTATGAACTCTTTATTTATATATACAAGCATACATAAATACAATATATATAGACAAATACTGTTGCTAAGTGTTGACGAGTCGGTACTGATTCAGAGAGACCCTATATAGGGTTTCGGAGGAGCAGCTGGTAGGTTTGAGCCACTTACCTTGAGGTTCACAGGTCAGTGCTTATCCTATAGCACCAAACCAGGACTCCATGTTGTTGTTGTTGTTATGTGCTGTGGTGTTGTTATGTGCTGTGGAGTCAGTTCTGACTTATAGCGACCCTGTACAGGGTTTCTGAGGCTGTAAATCTTTATGAGAGCAAAAAGCCTCATCTTTCTCCTGCAGAACTGCTGGTAGTTTAGAACTGCTGACCCTGAGGTTAGCAGCCCGATTCGTAACCAATACACTACCAGAGCTCCATACAAATAACTAGAGATGTGTGAGTCAGTAGGTACACATATATGAGTCAGTATACATACATATACTCCCCTAGTTCTACCCACTCACCGCTCCTAGGAACAGTGACAGATTGTGACCATGACAACACTAGTGCCAAGTTCATGGTTTCCTAATCAAGAGAATCAGGGCTCCTTGGTGAAACAGGTAATTCCAGAGCTGGAGCCTTTGGTAGTGTCATAAAGACAGGAACTGCTGAAAAAAAGGGAAAACAGACTGTATTCCAAAAGACCACGGGAGTCAACCTCAAAGGGTTCTCACTCACCATGGCCAGTGGTAAGAGTCTGAGGTGTAAGTAACAATGACAGTATTGGATTATAAGGTGGTGTCAATAAATTCATGGAAAAATGGGATTAAAAGATAATGAAATTTTTCCATGAACTTTTTGAAGCCCCTTTATATAACTCAAAGAATAAAATAAACACCCCTGAGGCCCATGCAGATATAAATAAACTATATTTTTCTTGACAGATAAATCCCAATAAATAAATGTAGAAGGAATGAGGGACAAAGACAGTCAACATTATAACAACACAGGCAAGGTTCAACAATACAGAAATGGGATGTCTGCATAGTCTTGAAACATTTCCTCCAAAATATTTAGTAATTACAGAAGGGAAACTACAAAGGGGAAAATAGCTAAGTTTATGGCAGACAGACCCCCCTTTGCCAAGTGATGAAGGTTCACACACTGTTAAGACATACTGGTAAACATGCACCCCCGATACAAAGCCCCAGGAAAAGCAACCCCCTGTGTTATTCTTCTCATTCATAACTTCCATCTAATCTGAGAACACACACACACTGAGAAACATTCAAAAAAATAATTGAGGGGTACTCCTTAAAAGTATCCAGATCGTGGAAGACAAGACCATTAAGGGACCCATTGTAGGAGAACGGCAAGGCAACTAAATGCAATGTGGCTCGGACCCAGGAACAGGGTGGGGAATAAAAGAATGACAGGGAAGAAAACTGGTGAGATTGAGATAAGTTCCGTGTTTTAGTTAATGACACCAAACCAAGACTACTTTTCTGCTGTTGACAAATGGTCTCTGGTCATCTAAGATGATAACACAAGGGAAAGCTGGGTGAAAAATACGCAGAAACTGTGATTTTTGAAATGGTCGAGTATGATTATAATTATCTGGATAAAGTGTTTTAAAGTGTACATATTGCCAATAGGCCAGGGTCTTAATTGATAATAATGTTCTGTCTCATCCAGATAAACTTTCAATATCTACTGTCCTCATACCCTAAGCCACACTTCTTTCTGATAAACAATAGCAATCAATTTGTATAGTCTATTCCAACACTTCACTGGGCTAATTTAGAAGCACATGAAATTTCTTCCAAATCTACCCTAATCTATTGTTGTTGTTAAATGCTATCGAGTCGGTTCTGACTCATAGCAACCCTGTGTAGGGTTTCCAAGGAATGGCTGGTGAGCTTGAACAGCTGACCTTGCGGTTCAGCGCATAAACCCACAGCACCAACCCATTTAAAATTTTGCCACCTAAAATTGTTCTTGGGTGTGCTGTGGCTCTGTCAGATAAGCACTGGACTGCTAACCACAAGATTAGTGGTTCAAGTCCACCAGCTTGCCCCCTGGGAGAAAACTGAGGCTTTCTGTTCCTGTTCCCACAAGCTAAGAAGCTCTGCACAGGGTCACTATGAGTCAGAACTTACTCAACAGCACTTAACAGCAACAGTGTTCTTCTACTGTATCTATTTTTGCTCTGTCCAACATTTCTTACTGAGTTGTACACAAGATGACTAAATAGATGTCCTGCAGTTCTAGAATCCAT